AAAATAAAAAATAAAAAGCGCAACCAGATTTTTAACTTATACATAAATTACTTATAAGTAATAGCAACATAAGTACAAAAAAGAACACGTATAATAATTTGATCTCATACACGACAACCAAAGCAAGGTTAAAACAATGCGCGCCACGCCATAAACATCAGCAGAAGCCCGTATATGACAGGTTTAGAGGCTGGACGCGCGCTATCTTCTTCAGCTTCGAGGTGCTCAGCCACATTGAAGTCACCTAAAGAAAATAACTTATCACAACAATCCATAATGTACAGAAGAAAACAATGTCGTATAGAGTATTACCTCGTTTAGGACCATAGCTACATCCTATCTTAATAGTTTCCCGTATTGCACTTAGCGTAGCCTTGTTGTAGAATACAAAGTGTTTCATGATGCCGTCTATACAGTCTAGCACGTGGTGCGTCTCTTTTAGGCAAGGTCCTTTGCAATACTGCTCCGTGTATTCGGGTGGAACATTGATTTCTCCACTTTGGCTTAGTCTGTAAGCTTCGTCGCAGTGACTGTAAATCTGCATATATGTTTAGATCAAAGAGAGAGATGATATGAAATGGACATATCAAACTGTTTGTGAGGATAAGTTATACACGATCGATTTAGGGAAGCGTGTATGAAAAAGAGAAAACACGGAACTCATAAACAAATGTTAATCAACACCACTAGCGTCAAGCACCAGTTTAGGTAGCAACTACATGATATTAAATGATAAATTCATCTAAATGCAATATTACATAATTCACTTAAATTGAATCTATTAAGTGCGGTCATCTAAACTGGTGTGAGGTAGCGTTATTCTTTAGTTTCTGATGATTCACTCATAAAACTGGGAAATAGGCATCACAAACACCATTTTTTTACACTGTACAGTGAAATTGGACATCGTTCATTTAAAAAGATGCAGAGAATTTGGTTAGAAATTTAGAAGACTCAAATTTTATTCAATAAGCCCCCCATAAAGAAACTCAAATCGTCATATTAAAAATCCTGCTATAAGAGGAAAATATCTAAACGTCCACAAGAATAAGCAAATCACAAATAACCAAAAACAATATCTAATTTTCTTTTGTGGGCATCACAAGTGGTCCGGTCGTAACTCGTAGGTCCTTTGGGAGGGGGATTGAGGTTGCAGGCAACTATTACTTACATACTTATCATGAAAACATTCGAGGGCTTTGTCAACAATGTTTGCCGGATTGGAGTTTATTGTCCCGCCTTCAGGAAAATGATGATCACCTTCACCTTCTCCTTCTCCTTCTCCTTCT